CCGCCAGAAGTGATGTTGTGTCGGCATGGCGGCTTACCTGATAATATTATTCGTTGTGATCCAGGAAGGGCGACAAGCTCTGAGGACGGAATAAATGTACCATAGGATATGTCCAGATCGGTACTTTTGGGTTACTACTTTCGTACACTGATGGTGTCCATAGGGACCTTCATTACCATGCTGTTTTTTGCTATACCTTTCACCCTACCACCAGGTAAGTCCGATAATAAAAAGTAAAGATTTTCTTTACTATTTTTTATATGTAAATTATGAAAGAAATTAAAATAGTCTAAATTTTTATTTTAAATAATTATTTTTATTTGCTGTGTTGATCGTTTCCATTTTCATTATGATTTTTTATATGAAGAATGGTGTTTGAACTATTATTTTTTTTCTTTTACTGTAGATTTCAAGAGAAAGAATTTATCCCATTGATTGTTTAAACTTATTTAATTCAAATCCTAACTCTCTCTCTCTCTCCCCCCTCTCTCTCTCTCTCTGAATAGACACACACATTCATACTTAAGAAATCAATGCCATTCATATCTTTTATGGATATCGGTTATTTATTATTATTTTTTTTTTCCGTTATAAAAAAATGATTTGTGGGAAACAGCAAAACAACTAATTCTTTTTAAAATTGTTGTGTTGTTGTAACAATACGGTAGCTCTTTCGGTATTAAATGAAAATAATAAACAAACAAGGGAATGAACAACCAAACAGACAAGGGAAGAAAAAAACAAACATTTATCGCTTTAACTTCCATTTCTTTTTAATTTTCCTACCGGTTTCTCTAGGATTTAAATTCTTTTTACCGTGCTCACGCTGATTAGGCAATTCGTTTTTTGCACAAGTTAATTCTTGTTTTTTGCCGATTAAAAAAATCTTATTCTAGTTTCCTTTCGATATTGAATGTTTGCTACATATAGTTTAATAAACTTATATTTTCAGCGTTTGATGGTGACAGTACGATCTATAGAAGAATGACAGTTTTTACTTTTTATTTATTTATTTTGCAATTTTTTTTTACTATTACTTTGTAAACTTCATTCAATGGGATACCAAGCCACAATACACAGGGGCATCAAATTTGAGGCTATTTAAATATGTATGGGTGTAATACAGATATGTGCCTTTGTTAACAAATTTACACGCAAATGAATGCGTATTATTTATTTTTTTTTTTTTAAAGTTCCCTAATGTCGAGTTTTGTGTATTTCATGAACTTCTGGGTCTATAAATGGACAGCAGATTTTGAGGGCATCAGGCGCAAATAAATAAATGAGGAATTTGAATGAGTTTGGCTTTTTTCCGCGTTTTCTAAGAAACTTTGTGCGAAGACAATCAAGGAACGCACGAGGGTTGCATTCATTGCATTTGCTGTATTTGCGCGAGCGTGTCTGTGTTGTGACGCATCTGTGCGTATTTAGATTTTAACATGGTTGTGTATATGCATATATGTGTGTTAGTGTGCGGTTTCAATAGTGAGTATTCGCGTATAAGTTTATGGGCGTATTTGAGATTTTTTTTTCAGCGGGACTGTGTTAGTGTGACTCTGCAATTATGTGTGTTTGCCTGTGACGCTGCGTAGAAATATATGCAAGTATATATGCATACATACTCTCTTACATTCATATATGCTCTGGTATGTGCGTGTATATGTGTGTGTGTGTGTGTGCATTTGATGTGACTGCCCTCGAGTGTCCGTATATATTTAAGGCGCGTCATTATTTTACTTCAGCGTAATTTACTTTGTGTATCGTTGTGTGCGTGCACGTGAGTGTGTGAGCGTGCGTGTAAGAGACAGAGAGGCTGAACGTGTATGTAGGTGAGTGTATACATATATATATATATATATATATATATATATATATATATATATGATAATATATATATGTGTGTGTGTGTATAATTTAAAACGTGCTGCAATCATATGGGCAGAGTGATCACGATCGGGAGTAGGGCGTTCGCACACCGACACGGTGTTGACATAAATAAACCGGCGACCGCTTAAGGCGTGAAACAGTCATTTACCTTAGTATTGATTTCTGTCTTTCTTACTTTCTTTCTTTCTTTATTTATTTCATTCTTTCTTTCTTTCTTTCTTTCTATTTAGTGCCATTCATATCTATCTATCTATCTATCTATCTATCTATCTATCTATCTATCTATCTATCTATCTATCTATCTCAGTCTGTTCCTATCTATCTATCTATCTATCTATCTATCTATCTATCTATCTATCTATCTATCTATCTATCTATCTATCTCATGCCTGTTAATATCTATCTATCTATCTATCTATCTATCTATCTATCTATCTATCTATCTATCTCAGTCTGTTCCATTCATCTATCTATCTATCTATCTATCTATCTATCTATCTATCTCAGTCTGTTCTATTCATTCATCTATCTATCTATCTATCTATCTATCTATCTATCTATCTATCTCAGTCTGTTCATATCATTCATCTATTCATCTATCTATCATCTATCTATCTATCTATCTATCTATCTATCTCAGTCTGTTCATATCTATCATCTATCTATCTATCTATCTATCTATCTAGCAAGCTAGCTATCGTGCGTGCGTGCGTGTATGTTTAGTTTATGGATGCGTGAAAAGCCCACCAGACATGAGAATGTTTACCGCAAAGTAAATATATTCTCTCACCCACACAGGAGATGCGCTTTTTTTTCCCCCTCGGATAACGGAAAAGTGTCTTTCTGCAGTTGGGCCCATAAGTAAAAAAAAGTGTCTCGTGAATTTCGAGCGAGTCTCACTTTCTATCGTTAGTTCAAATGAGCAAATAAAAAATTAAACAGTTCCAAACAAAGCTAAGAGATTAAATAAAGTTGTTGGAGAATTTCGGTATTTTTTCCGGGGAGGGAGGCGTCTATCATCGCGTGATAGTTAACGAAGTCATGTCACAGATCCATTCCTTAGTTCGATCCTCGCTGTATTCAACTACTGTGGCCATGTGCCCGGACTAAGGTAACCTTAGTAACGTACTATATCTTGCTTTGGAATCTATCACTGGTTAGTGATTGTAGTTGTATATATCTTTCATTTTCTCTTCCACATGCGTGTATGACCACGAACTAATGCGCACGCACGCACACGTACATACACAAATTTATCAATCTATCAGATAGATAGATAGGATACGATACATGGATAGATATGAACAAGTTCATATATATATATATATATATATATATATATATATATATATATATATATATATATATATATATATATATTGCCTAACTGAGTCTCTAATCTAACAAGTTAATCTAGAAGGTCAGTGCTGTTTGACAAACTTCGAGCTTATCTGTGAATTCTCTCATCCGTGGCCTTGTGCTGGTTTAAACTCAATTCAGATATAGGGGCACCTGGCCGTGGAGAAACGATGAGCAAATTGGCTTGTTTAGTAACAATCGTGATTTCGATCCTCGCTTTGGGCTGAAAAAAATCGACTCAGTCCATGTGTATACCTTAGTGGTGAGCGTATTAGTCTCAGGATAAATATTCACATCTATCATTACATCATTCTTTCTTTCTTTTTTTCTTTCTTTCGTTCGTTCTGTCTTTCTTTCTGTGTGTCTATCTTCTTCCGTTTGTTCACATCTATCTCTGTTCATTTTCATCTATCTATCTATCTATCTATCTATCTATCTATCTATCTATCTATCTATCTATCTATCTATCTCAGTGTGTTCATTATCTATCTCAGTGTGTTCATTATCTATCTATCTATCTATCTATCTATCTATCTATCTATCTATCTATCTATCTATCTCAGTGTGTTCATTATCTATCTATCTATCTATCTATCTATCTATCTATCTATCTATCTATCTATCTATGTGCCATTTGACAGAAGTAGTTCGCACATTTTGAGATCTGGACGTGTGTGTCGTGGGCTGATGAGAAGAGGGCACGTGTCGTTGTGTATTTTGTATGTATGTGCCTGCGTGCGCGCGTGCCTGAATTTGTGTGTGCACGGCGCGTCTTACAGGCTAAGTCCTTGGCACGTTTGTCCCAGAAAATAATGCGAAATAAATAGAAAGAAAGAAAAATATAATTTTCATGTAAGGGCCTTGTAAATGGTTATTGTGAACCCTAATTATAAATTGAACTTAATAAATGTCTTTATGTAAGTGTATTTGGGTACAATTTGTAAGTTGTTTGTAAATGTATGCATATCGGTTTTGCCTGCAAATATCGTCGGTCTAATTTGTGCCTGAGTGTCTAAATTTATTAGCAGCGTGCAAAACTTTCCAGCGCTAAACAAGTTTCAACTGTGTATTCTGTCTCTAGTTTACAGAAAAAAGAACGCTGGAAACATTTGCACAACCTAATATATGTATTTATACAAGTTGTTCCTTTCTTTGTTTTTCTTTCTTTCTTTTTTCTTTATTTCTATTTTACTTTCTTTCTTTCTTTCAGTTTTTTCTTCCTTTCTTTTTCATCTTTCTTTCTTTCTCTTTATTTTTTCTTTCTTTCTTTCTGATTTTCTTTCTTTTTCTTTCTTTCTTTGTTCTTTTTTTCTGTTTTTCTTTCTTATTTTCTTTATTTTCTTTTTCATTTTCTTTCTGTTTTACTTTCTTTTTTCTTTCTTTTCTCTTTCTTTCTTTCTTTTTTGTCTTTCTTTTCTTTCTTTCTTTTTGTCGTTCTTTCTTTCTTTTTTATTTCAGTTTTTCTTTATTTCTTTCTGTTTTTTCTTTCTTTCTTTCATGATATTTACACCTAGCTTCGCTTCGTCTGGTACAGGGACAAAAAGAAATAAATTAAGCATGGGAAGATTGTGCTGCACCAAATTCCAAGTGATGAGAGTTGCTGTTCGCTTTAAAAATCAGCATTCGAAATCCTAGCATTTCGTCGACCAGTAGGAAGTATCTAAGTATAAAATAGGCTCAAAATTATTTTTATATTCAAAGAATATGAATTTGTAGCAAGGTTCTTTGTTTTTTGAAATTAAGATTTCTTATCCGTGATTCTGGAATGAAGTATTTTTATTATTTAACACATTACAAATACAAAGTAATATATTTTTTGAAGGAAAACCATGGAGTTGCGATAAAAAGTAACTGAAATAAAATTAATAACTAACAATGCTTCATCTCCAGAATTAATTAAAAAAAAAAAAATTAAATAAAAAACTACTCGTACCATAGTATAAAAATACTATGTAGTTAGATTTCTTTGATTGCAGTTAAAGGGCTTCCGATGATAAGGGAGGTAAATCCGTGTCACATTGTGAATTTTCTTTCTATTTACAAATAGCGCTGCCTATTGTCAATGACGGTTTGAGAGTTGTGTTGAAAAGCAACTGATTGATTCGTTTTCTATGGCTTATCAACCCTTTGCAGGTTATTTAAAGTCAGATATTTTTTGAGATAATAATAGTTTAGTGATACAAGTTTTGCTAATTAACCCATTTTTCCAACCTGAACGATAGAGAAGCGGTGGATATCTTTCCCAAGGGTATTTGCACGTAAATGAAAATAAGAAAGCCGATTGGGATCGGAACTCGACACTCCGATTTTGAATTCCGAGTCGTTATCCATTATACCCAAGCTTACAGCATCTGGTATTCCCAAGCTGTCACCCATCTAGATAGAGACCAGGCAAGACGTTGCTTAACTTCGGTGATCGTACAGGAACCGGTGTTTCAACGTGATCTGGTCGAAAACCTCAAAAAGCAAATGAAATTAAAAAGAAATGGAAACACTTCTTCTTCTTCTTTGTCGTATCCCTTCAAGATGTTGGAAAACATCTCTCCACAACTTCCTGTCCTTCGTAACTCTTAGTAAGTTTTGTCTTGTTGTCTCTCCTAAACCCTGTTTTGCCATCTATTTACACATGCCCTTTAGTTGGGTTATGCACTGCTTTCCTCTCTCCCTCTTGCCTTCAATATGTCCTGTGAGTATCAAATTTTCCAAGCCCTCCTTCCTCGTTATGTACCCTAGAAATTTCAACTGTCTTCTTCGTTTCCATTTTCTCTAAAACTTCGTAGTTGTTCACATGTTCAGTCCATGGTATTCTCTGCATCCTCCTGTATAATCACATTTCTATCGGCTCAAGTTTTTTTCCCTCTGTACAGAGATTATCCAGCATCCACTGCCATATAGGAAGACTGATATTACGTAACAGTTCAGTATTCTTTTCTTTTGTTTTTAACGAAATGTTCCTGTTTCTTAATACTTTACTTAGCTTTTGGAAGGCATTTTTCGCTATCCAAATGAAACTAATCTGGATAAAATAAGGTGCGCCTAGTGTAAACGATACAGTCGTGTAATCGGCGAGTCGAGTTCAATTTCAAACCTAGTCGGATGCGTTCTCTTTTGCACAAATGCCTTTGGGAAATGTATGAATGTTTTCCTTCTCCATCCAGCTATGGAATAGACTGATCTTTTCAGCCTTGGCTGGCAACCAGTCTAAACGAAGGATATCTCTGATTCTAAATCTATATGTTTATGTATGTATCGTGGGTTTGAGAGGGAGAGGGGCGTAATGTTTTTCAACAGAGAAAATGGGATTGGCGAACCGAGTTCGAATTTCGGTTGGGACTACAGATGTTCACTTCCACCTGATACTTTTTTGGAAGGCTTGAATCCACTCCTCCTTGCACTATATCTAAAAATAACTTATTACTGACATGCAGCCTTAAGAGACCCAGATAAGAAAGAGAACTTGGGCAATTTACTTTATCCGCCAAAACAGTGGCAGCTGAAAGCTGTTGCTCCTGTATTCAGCCTTGACACCAGTCCACTCAATTAATAGCATTCATATAACACATAATTTTCAAAGCTTTGACATTGTTTGGAACAAAAAAAACAAAAAACAAAAAAAAAATTGGCTGCTTAGCTTAGTATAGTCAGCTAGAAAGCCAGATGATGGGATATGTGGAGTAGGAAGATTGTATTGCGCCATTTTAAAAACGAGATGTATCTACTTGCATCGAAAATCTAAATCTATTTTTTGGCACCAATATTCAGAGAACTTAAAACGATTACTTGTTTACTTATTTTAGTGCATCATTTTACATAAAATTATTTCCGCGTGACGTAATGGTTAAATGCATAATTTAAACATTATTAGCTTCGATTTGATTAAACAAATAATTAACAGTGCATTTTAATGGCAATCTGTCACTTATATTATTGCCAACTAAAACTGTTTTTACATTTTCACAAGTAGCAAAGTAATCGTTCTAAGTAACGCGGTTAATCGAAGTAAGTGCCGTGTAATTTGTTGCGCTTTTTTTTAACCATTTTTTTTTTTTTTTTTTTTTTTAATCTGAGTTCGAAAATTGACCACTGGCGCCGGTCGAGAATTCTCAAATATCACCGTGCCAAGCGTGGGTTAACAATTAACGAGGTCAGTGTGGTTAACGCTGACTAGTCAGTAGTGAGTTCGATCTTCACTGCATTCCCCATACATAACCCAGTAAGATTTGGCATGCTGCAAAAGCAAGCAACCAATCAATAGCATAATTATACGAGCCACAGGGCAGGACGTTGTTTTAGGCGAATGTGTGCGTGTAATTTTCGTATGTGTCTGTGTGCCCGCACGCCTGCGTCAGCGTGCATCAGTCAACCACTGTTGTTGAACACATGGTCATTATTTCCTATTTGCCGCTATGAGCTGGTTGTGAGATGATGGTCTAGCCGCGTCTATTTTAAATTATACAACCAGCAGAATTTCAATTTGCAGACGAGTCGTGAAAACGTACGAAAGTAACAGTTCGAGGCTGATTAAATAAATCCAGTTTGTATTGAGATTTAGGGTAGGACTTTTAGAGTTCGAAGGAGTTTAGGAATATAAAAAATAAGCGTCTTTGTGGTGGTTAGCATGATGGAGTTACAGCCTACACTGTTTAAGACAAGGCTCAGATTATCCACCCAATTAAGCATATTTTAAGAATGAAGAGGGCCTCCGATTTTGTAAACGTTAATTATTCAAGCCCAAAATAATAGAATAGTACTATGCAGTTAGCATCATCTTAAAATAACTTCTCAAAGAAAGGCTTTGAATTTGTCATCGCTTCAAAGTTAATATTATTCTTTTTAGTTTAAGTAATATTATTGAAATTTCTAAATATGAAATAAGCATTAAATAAATTTCCATTCTGAGAATTTGCTAGGCATGATCAGACTCAACTAAAAGTTACCGGATGTTTTATATATATATATATATATATATATATATATATACCGTAATTCCCCATGGATAATACGCATTTTTAAAATAATAAGCAAAATCAGGGATGCGTATTATGCACAGCTACAAAAAGTCTTTAAAAATTACCGTAAAATAAAATAAGAATTATCATAAAATTACATTAGAATAATATTATTCTATGTTTAAAACATTTTTTTTAAAAATAAGAGTAGGAGATGTTGACCGTAATGAAATTGGAGAGGTACAATTTATACGGTTTGATTACCAAACAAAGGGTGCGTATTATCCGTGAGTAGAAGCATATATATATATATATATATATATATATATATCGTATATTTTGGTAGCATGTTTTCATTAAGACATGTTTCATTAAATAATTTAGACAATTTTGTTTATTTATTTTTAATAGGATCCTCTCATAATTACGGACAAGTTTTCTTCAGGTTCTTGTTTTTCTAAGACAACAAATTGTCGTGATCGTCATTTTCTAAGACAAGTTTGTTGTGTTCATCTGAAAACTAAACTTTTTTACTTTTGAAGTGAAAAATCCTAAGGTTATGTAGAGTACAATTTTAACTTTTACCATGTAGGCTCACGTACAAACTTCAAGGGAGGCAACTAAGAAAAATGATGAAAACAACAATTTTTTTGTCTTAGGAAAAACAAGACCCCAATGACGACATTGTGCTAATGTCGAAAGTATTTGAAATAAAGTGAATATGTCCCAACAGGGTAACTTACTGTCTTCCTTTAATAAAGATACTAAGAAACTTGTCCGTAATTACGAGAGGATCCTGTTAAAAATAAGTAGACAAAACTTGTCGAAATTATTTAACGAGATTTATATATATATATATATATATATATATATATATATATATATATATATATATATTCTTTTCTTTTCTCTCTCTCTCTCTATATATATATATATATATATATATATATATATATATATATATTTATATAAATATGTGTGTGTGTGTGTGTGTGTGTGTGTGTGTGTTTGTATGTGTGTGTATTTTCTTGGCTGGGTTCTTTCTCTATCAAGTAAATTTTCTATTTAATAAAGCGAACGGAATTTTTGTCAATTCAAACACACACACACACATATATATATATATATATATATATATATATATATATGTGTGTGTGTGTGTATAACAAACCAAAATGGACAATAAAATACAACAAAAACCATAATGTCTGTGCCTCCCTGTTTCTCTGTGTTCCATTACGATAGACAAAGCAAAGTTTAGTAACAGACAGACGTAGAGATATTTAGTAAAAGTCTACGAATTTCCGTTGATATAACGCTTTTTTTATAAATCTGCAAATTTGCGGGTGAGTGAACTAATTTGTCCGGGTTGCCAACCACGGCTAGCGAATCCAGTCTGCTTCACTATTTAACCCGTATATGGGGGATTTAGAAGGGTATATAGAAAGAGATAGGTTTGCTTGTCGTCCTGTTCACACTCCTTCCGGGTCTTTTGGACAGGAGTAGAGGTCTGTCCCTTGTGTCCTTTTCTTCTCTTTCACTTCCAGTGGCTTCTTGCGTTTTGTTGCTATTATCACCTTTCTTGGGGTGATGCCTGTTACTATATAACTGTCTACCTCGAATGGATCATAGGCCTTGTATAGGGTGAACATCACTGCATGCGCAAGGGCATATGAGTATGTAGCTGGATGTGTTTGTGATTGCATGCATCTGCGTGTGTGTATGTATGTGTGCGTGTGTATGTCTGTTATTTGCTCGTTTGATTTTTATTACTTTCACGCACTTAAATGTTGCCAAACTTGGCTCTTATGCTCGATGTCAAAGTCTTCTTATATGATATATACATTCCCTTATTAAAGTAAAAGTGAATAAATGATTAGTCTCTAGATTTCTAATCAGCCTATACGTGACAACTATTTAACGGATATAGGTATTTACACGTAGACTTGGCGACCAGTTGAATTTCATTTCAAGTATTAGTATGCGGAATAAACTTATTTTAACCGACTTTGAATGCGACATGATCGTTGGTGACAGATGTGGGGTCTGATTATTTTTAAAAAATTGCTGGCATTCTACTCGGATTTTCACGCACAACCATTTCTAGTGTTTATAGATAATGTTTAGAAAAAAAGAGACTATTGGGGTTTAAATCCCTTGTTAATGAAACAGACCGGAGGAGAATGGCCATACTGGTTCAAACTGACAGAAAAAAGTGGCAACAGTAGCTCAAATAACTTCTTTTATCGCAATCGATATACAGAAGAGTATTTATGAACGCACAACACATCGAAGCTTGAAGCAGGTGGTCTATCACAGCAGAAAACCACGTCGGGTGCCCTTTCTGTCAGATAGTAACAAGATGAAGGTACAATTAGTTAAGGATCACAAAAATTGCACAACAGGATATTGGACACAGGTTGCCTAGTCTGATGAGTCTTGATTTTTGCTGCAATATTCTTATGCAATATTTCTCCATTAAAGGTCTCTACCTACACTGGAAA